ACAGGGACGTCCTGAAGGGGAAGACCGTCAAGCACGTGGTGGTTGCCTGGCGATCGTGGAAGCTACCGAGAGTGAGCCGCTCTTCGTTGGCCAGCGAGGCACGGGCAGCTGCAGGTGGCGCTGACGCCCTGGACTACGTAAAGGTACACTACAGTTGTGGATGCCATGAGAATGGACACTCTAACAATCCTATCATTCAGTTAATGACGTGTTAAAATGTGTAAAAACATGCTCAAAAAAAAACACTTCAACAATTGTATTACACATTGAAACATGCTGGAAACATGTTTTAGACATCTGGAAATTATTTGGCAGCACGCTTCCTCTCCATGAATCATCGAGGGTGCGCCGCTGGATCTCCCCAAGGGGGGGGGGGTTAGGAACCCACCCACCCCTCCCCCCCCTTCCCCGATCCGTCGTCGGGCAACCCCCCCCCTCCCCCCCTTCCCCGATCCGTCGTCGGGGACCCCCCCCCCTCCCCCCCTTTCCACGACCCGTCGTCGGGGACCCCCCCCCCCCTCCCCCCCTTTCAAAGGGGGGGGGGTTCGGACCTTTCGCCACGCCGCCCCCTGACGCCGGAACCCGACCCCCGCCACCCCTACCCCTAGTCTTCACCCGAACCCAAACCCCGAATCCGAACCCTAATTACTAACCCCAGCCCCCTACTCACTACCCCCTACTCACTACTCGCTATTCGCTACTCACGACTCACTACTCACTATCGACTACTCACTACCCACCACCCACTACCTGCTACTCACTACTCCCTACTCACTACTCCCTCCTCCCTACTCACTACTCCTTACCCACTACTGAATACTCACTACTCGCTAAAAATTACTCACTACTCCCTATTCACTCCAGAATAATCATCACTCATTACCCACTACCCACTATCCACTACTCACTACTCACTACTAACTACTCATTGCCCACAAATCACTACTCACTATCCACTACTCGCTACTCACTACTCCCTACTCACTACTCCCTCCTCCCTACTCACTACTCACTCCTCACTACCCACTACTCAATACTCACTACTCACTACTCACTACTCACTAAGCACTACTCACTACTCCCTATTCACTACTCAATAATCACTACTCATTACCCACTACCCACTATCCACTACTCACTACTCACTACTAACTACTCATTGCCCACAAATCACTACTCACTACCCACTACTCGCTACTCGCTACTCCCTACGCCCTACACAAAACTGACTACACAGTACTCAGTACTCATTACTTGCTACTCCCATACTCTCTACTCAATACTCACTACTTACTCCCCGCTACTCACTATTCACTACCCACTACTTACTACTCCCTACTCACTGGTCACAACATAGTCTCTAGTCACTAGTCACAACTCACTAGTCACTAGTCACTAGTCACTACTCACTACCCACTACTCACCAATCGCTACTCACTACCCACTATTCGCTACCCACTTCGTACTACTCACTGCTCCCTACTCCCTACTCCCTACTCAGCAATCACTACTCACTACTCACTACTCGCTACTCCCTACTCGTTACTCACTGATCACTACCCACTACTCACTACTGACTAAACTCTACTCACTACTCACTACTCACTACTCGCTACTCACTACCCACTGCCACCACCCACTACTTTCTATTCACTATTCATCACTACTCACTATTCACTACTCACTACGCACTACGTACTACTCAGTACTCACTACTCACTACTCACTATTCACTACTCACTACTCGCTACTCACGACTCACTACTCACTACTCACTGCTCACTACTCACTACTCACTACGCACTACGCACCACCCACAACTCACTACTCACTAATCACTACTCGCCACCCATTACTCACTACCCACTACTCACTACCCAGTACTCATTACTGCCTACTACCTACTCAGTACTAACTATTCGCTACTCGCTACTCACTACTCACAACTCACTACTCGCCAGCCCCTACTCACTTATCAGTACACATTATTAACTCACTATTCACTACTCACTACTCCCCACCCCCTACTCCCTACCCCCTACTCGCCACTCACTACCCACTACTCATACTCACTACTCACTACTACTCACTACCCAATACTCACTACTCACTACGCACTAACTCACTACTCACTACTCACCACTCCCTACTCCCAACTCTGTACTCCCTACACGAGGGGGAGGGGGGTCCGACCCCACCCCCCTTTCCGGCGCCAAGGGGGGGGAGGGGGGGGGGTCCAGACCCCCCCCCCCTTCAAGGGAGGGAGGGGAGGGGGGGGGTCCGGAACCCCCCCCCCTTGAAGGAGGGAGGGAGAGGGGTTCTGGAACCCCCCCCCCTGTAGTGTATCCAGGGAGATCCACTGGCGCACTTTCTGAATCATCGACTTCCACAACACTGCAGTTTCATGCTCGACCCGAGCCAGGACCCGAGGCTCGACGCCGCCGTGCAGGCGCTGTGGCAAGAGCGCGCTCGTGGTGGACGCGAGGGCTCCCGACGGTGCCGCCCAGGAGCCCCGCGCGCACGATGCCGACGACCAGCGGGCGGGCAACGAGGCCCGGGTGCTGAAGGAGCGCATGGTGGCGAGCGCGACCGGCCGGCATCGGGCCAGCTCCGAGCGCCGGCTCGCGGACGACTTCGCGAAGCTGGCCGCACGGCAGCCACGGGCAGGCCGACTCAGATCTGGGACGCTCAGCTTGAGGGATGACGACAGGTTCCAGGCCGCCCAAGAGGAAAACCGCCGAGGACCGACAGAGAGAGGAGAGGAAGTGCCCCATCCCGAAGCTCAAGGCGGCGGAGGTGTTGGCGACGGCAAGGTTCATTGGCATGGCAGTTGGAATCAACGACCTGGACGTTCATCGGACGACCGAGGACGCTGGCTTGGCAAGCTTCGTGTGGCAGGAGACGCCCATGATCGTGACCAGCATTGCCCTCATGACCGTGCTGAAGCGGATGATGAACGTCAATACATGCATCATGATTGTGATTGTAATTGTTTATGCAGGGTGCCGTGACAAGGCAAAGACTACTTACACGACTACACAGACTACTGTGACGATGGATGTTACCACAGGGTGCCGTGACAGGGCACAGACTACGGAGACCCCCGACGAGAGCGAGACCAAGAAGATCAAGAAGCCGAAACAGACCTTCTGCAACACCAGGGTGATGAGCCAGGTTACCTACACGGGTGTTGGCAAGGAGAGTGGAGCCATATATGTCCACCAGACCCAGGGGTTCAGCAGAGCCTGGGATGTGACGCACGACCACGTGCAAAATTGGAGGCCCCACTGTGATTGAGTTGCCCCGGCAAAACACGTTTTGCATGTCCATCCTTATTATCGTGTTCCTATCTCTTTCCATTTCTCGCAATGTAGCGATATTGGACCGACCGACGGCTTGACAGGCAGAGGCTTTCGGCTGCTGACTTCGAGGGCACAGCCACTCTCGAGTTGAGTTCATTTGCTCGCGCTGCTGGACCAGCGGTTTCAGATTTGAGGAGGTGAATTGTTCCTTCCTTGAATTGCGTGTTTCTGTTTCTTCTATCTTACAAGTGTGAGTATACTCCCTACAATGTATGTAAGCTGTGTTTGGAGGCTTGTAGCTCCCCCGTTCCAGCAAGCATGCATGTGCAGTAGCAGACAGCAGGTAGAGAAGAGACATGTGTTGGACGCTGTTCTGGCTCGATACAGCTCGAGATGCCTCTCTCATTTGGCACACATGGAGCGAGTATGTTCTCTGGGCACGCAGGGCGATAGTTCGGAGACAGGCGAGAAGAAGTTGGCAGACAGAACGGAGTTCCATCGCAGTGGGACGAAGACCTAGAGAGCTCCGACCGCTTGACACCTCCTCAGCTTATTCTTCGTATTGGTGTTCTTACGTTTAGTAGTGTCAATATTCGCATGATTAACATTATCGATCGTAGTATTAAAATCAATGGTAGAAGTAGTACAAGTAGTACCATAACTAATATCAGTGATAGCATGCGTAAAAGCACTAATAATACTAATGTAGTCGTGGTATGAGTATTAACGGTGTTCTTCTAATTCTTCGCAGTAATAGTGATAGTGGCAGTCATAATAGTAGTAATGTTAATAGTATCAGTAGTACTACAATTTTGAGTATTATAACTATTGATATTCGAATTCGCATTCGTACCCGTATTATGAGTATGTTTCTTCTCGTTCCTCCTCCCTCTCCTCCTCCACCCTCCACCTCCTCCTCCGCCTCCTCCTCCTCCCTCTGCTCCTCCGCCTCCTCCTCCTCCTCCTGATCATCTCCGCCATCCTCCTCCAAGTGTTCCCCGAAGGATTTCCACAACGGCTGGGGGAACACATGGACAGATAGCCTGGCGGAGCTCTTGCCACAACGCTCGGCCACAAGGGCGAGTCCAAAAGGCAGGAGGCGGCGGTGATTCGCCGCAGGTGTCTTCGATCGGACTGGTTCTGGATGGCGGCCCTCGCTTCTGCAGCCCCTGTGCAAAACGTCAGGGCATCTTGGAAATGGCAAGGAAATCCTGCAACGCATCATCATCATCATCATCATCATCATCATCATCAGCATCATCATCATCAGCATCAGCATCAGCATCAGCATCAGCATCAGCATCAGCATCATCATCATCATCATCATCATCATCATCATCATCATCATCATCATCATCATCATCATGGCCTTGCTCCTCCACTCATCTGCACCCCTTGCTCCACCAGGAAGGCCTGGTCACCGGCCTGGCCCGGGCCCGGGGCGTGGCCTCACCAGGGTCGGCACAGGGGCCCTCGGAGACGAGGGACAAACTTGAAGGGGCTGGGGTCCCGCAGACTGCGCTCGTCGTGGTGGCCCACGAGGAGGCGAGCGTCCTGGACGCTCTCCCTACCTCCCCCCGCCTCAAATTCACCTCCGCGGAAACCCAGATGCTCCTCCCCATGCTCGTCCTCTCGTGAGGTTTCGCGCCACCTCGGGGGGAGGGGGCGTGCGCGCGCGGAGGGGCCTCCTGGCCGGTGCTAGCTCGCGCGCGGCGCGGGGGGCGCCGTGTGCTTGAGCTCCTTCGCTCAGGAAGGGGGAGGGGTCGGCGGCGACGATAGGGCGAATAGCCCAGGGGCGGGCATTACATGTATTCGCCCAGGAGCCTTGTCGAAGACATAAATCATCGGCGCCCCTGGATACAAGTATTGCTCTCCCCATGTATTGTTCTCCCCTGGATACATGTATTGCTCTCCCCTGGGGGAACAGAAGGAAGCGGAGTCCCCCCCTCACGGATGCCACCGCAGCCTCCGTGCCATCGGGGAACGTGCCAGCCTTCGAGAAGAGCTCGGTCACCTGCAGCACGAACTCGCGCTCGCCGAGGCTGACCTGGCGGGGCAGGTGAGTGCTCGAAGGTTCCCAAGTTGAAGGGGCCCTGGGACACACAAATAAACACACACACACACAAGTAACAGGATTCCCAATATTTCCCCGTATTTTCTGAGCTTTTGTTTTCCCCCCTCACTTCCCATATTTTCCCATATTTTCTGGGGAATCGACGATTAATTGTGTCTGTGTGTTTTTCCCCTCCTGACAAATGCACTGCGGAAAAGAGGAAATGCACACCACAAGCCCATCGTGGTCCAAATCTTGGTCCCGACGCCCAGCCTGGCTGAAGATCTGGCCAACGGGAGCAAATCCCAAGAGGGGCAGCTTCCAGAATGATTCTGATGTTTCAGACAAAGTCGAGCAACTTCTGTCCCTGCTTTCTTGTGTTCCTGGGAAGTTTTGGAAGGCGTCTGGATGTGGAACAACATGACGGGGGCAGCGGCATAGCAGCAGGAAAAATAATGGGGGACGGGGGCAAGAGGGATAGGGGCGGGGAACAGTAGAACTACGAGGAAAAGGAACGAGAACACAGAGGTGCGATCAGGAGTGGGATTATTTTGATGACGGGGCCCCGACATGAACGCTTCCACGCGTGGCACGCTGCAACTCTCGTGGGCCGCAGCAGCTACAAACGCTGGGGGTCGCAGAACAGCGCCCAAAGCCGCTTCGAAGCGGCGGCGTACACGCGCACCAAAAAACGACGCAGCAGGAGGCCAGAAAACAAAACACAAGACGAATCGGAGTCGCCAAGTTTCGCGGCGGATACGCGGGCAGCTCTGAATAATGGTTGCTCTTCCTCCTGTATACGGAAAGACTCCGCCACTGCCACAGCTTCCCGCCAGGTCGGGCATCCTTCACGCATCCTTCACGCAGGGAAGCTTGGACGCCACACCTTCAGCCACTGCGGCCGAGGGCCATCGGCAACCAGCGACCTGCATACTGGCGACACGCGCTACATGGTATCGACGTTTCTTAGATGCCTCCGGGCAGACGTCAATCAAAAAGAGGGCTCGGCCGTCGCTGTCCTCCCGCAAACACGGTAGAAGCCAGAACTGACGCGCACGCGACTCGTGCAGCGCCCATTCCCCAAACCAAATCACACCCCTCCCACCCCCCGAACCCTGCCGTTGTCGTCCACAGGCACTTCGCCGACGTCTTGCAACTTGCTAAGGCAGCAAGCCGACACACAGGCCTCGAGATTTTCTACCCGTTAACGATGACGCGGCACAGGCCGCGCGCATACTTATGAGGGGCAGCGAAACAGTTGGCCCCGCGGAAGACCCAAGCACATGCACTTGCGCGCATCGCGACGCAGGCGAGAATGAATAAGGGGGTCTGGCAAGAGGTTTGGGGCGTGGATGGAAAAGAAAACTCACATGCGCGAGCGGGGTGGCTCTTGCGGTTTGCGCGAGCCCCGGGCACCGCCGTCTGGCGTCCGCATCGTTCCCAGATTCTATATCCCTTTCCCTGGCTCCATCACGCGTCGCGCTTGCGCCCGCCTGGCCCGCGGCTGCCCGAACCTTGGGCGCCGCTGTTTTGCACCCATTTTCTTCCCCCCCATTTCCCCCCCATTTTCTCGGCGCCCCAGCGGCCGCGTCGCTAGGCAAAGAGCAGCGCCGGGCCCCCGCGACGCGCGCTGGTCGCCCCGCGAAATCCCAAGCGACGCGCGCGGGTCGTCCGCGGCAGGGAGCAAGAGAAGCAGGCGGCCGACAATCGGGCGAGGCGCTGGGCAGAGCGCTCGGGAAGCGGGCAGCTCCTGAACGCAGAGCGCAGGGAGCCCCCCGCGACGCGCGCAGGTCGCCCCGAGAGGGCCCCAGACACGCGCGCGGGCCGCGCGCGGGGCGAGGCCGAACAATCCAACGGTCGACAGAAGGCGAGGCCTCGCAGATAAACTCGGCGAGGCCCCAGCTCCACGGCGCGGGCCGTCGCCCCGCTCCCGCGCCGCTAGGCGAGCGCCGCTAACTGCCCCATCTGTTCCTGCAAGCCCCCCAGCGGCCCTGCACGGAAGAACTCGACGCGCGGCGCCCGCGCGAGCGGGAAGTCCTGGCGGCGCGCGGAGATCCAGCTATCAATCGTCGCCCCCCTCCTCGCCTTTCCTTACCTCGCGGCAGCCGCAGTCCAGGCCCGCGCCTGGGTGACTTCGGCCGAAACACCAGCGAGCCGAACAGCCGACAATCCAAGGCGAGCCCACTGCGCAAGGCCCGGGAGCGCCGTTCTCGCGCCCGGTCGCCGCCCCGCACGGCGCGCCCCGGGCCCGCGCCGCAGCGACTACCCTACCGCGCGAGAACGGGAAGCCGGCTCGGGCGACCCTGGAAATTCGGAAGGCGAACGGCTCCGACGCGCGAGGCTCGACTGACACCGGCGGGCCTGCGAGGCCCCCGGCGAGGGCGTCGTCGCGACGCCCCAGGTCGCCGGATGCGCGCGCGCACGTCCACGCGCGTCGGGGGCAGTCCGCGCAAGCCACCGGCTTCGGATTGGCACAGTTCTACCATCTTGGCGGAGCCCATCCTGCCCATCGTCGGGAGGGACCTGTCGGCTGCCTGCGCGAGGAAGGAAAAGCTTCTTCAGGGCGCCCGCGCCCCACTGGGCATGCGCGCTCACCCACCGCGCCACGGTGCACCAAAATGACCCGATCACGCGCCATTCTGAAATTCTGGAACCTGTTCTCCCGGACCCGATGATCCTCGGATTTCGCGCGGCACACCGCGTGGCCTGGGCGCCCCGGAGGACCTGCCCCCCCGACTTGCGCAGGAACGCCAGGACGTTCCAGAGCTTCGGGCACTTGAAACGATCGGACGCCTGGAGCTCGAGAAACACCGCGGCGCGTCGCAAACGAGCTTCACCCTGGCGGTCTGGCACTCTAGAGAAATGTGGATGCCCGCAGCCGACAGTTCCTCGAAGCTTGAGATGAGGGGCGCTCTGCCCTCGTCGATTCTAGCTGCAAGACGCCCCCCAGGTGGGCCCCGATGGGCACGCGGCCAAGGGGCGCCACCGACCTGGTCGCACTCCCGTTCCTCCGAGCCCCACGCAGCCTTGCGTCCGAGGTAGGAGCGGAACGCGAGCATGATAGACACAGGCCGGGCGAGATCGTGCTCACCTCCTCCAGGATAAGCAGCTGACCGCCTCCCACGTGTCCTGTAGTGCCTCCAGCTGGCCCAAGGCGGGCACGTCCTTGCCCTGACAGACTGCACTCCCATGACTCCCGCCAGGTGTCAACCTTCGCGGCCTGAGACCACTTCGCGCCGACTACCTGCGTGGATTTCGCCGTAGGAAACAGAGCGTCCAAGAACGAGATCACGATCTCCCATAGCATGGCGGACTTTCCGCTGCCGCCCTGGGAACAAGAACTGGAAGGCCTTCCGCGTCGAGCGCTTGTCCATGCTTCGGCCCGTGAGCTTCAGCCCCTCGTCCCACACCGCGTTGCAGGCGTCCGCGAACGCCACGTCGGCGCGATGTGAACCTGGGCGCGATCTGCGCAAAGTCCTGACAAGTCCAAAGCCTTGCGCCGACCACAGCGCGTGAGCACTGCACAAGGTGCAAGGAAGTGGATGCCATCAGCACGCCGCGCTCGCCTTGACCCTCAACTGCCTGCTCCCATCTGCGAGCCGCACCGCCCTCTCGCTGGAAGAAATCAGCAAGTCGCTCGTGGGAGCCAGCAGCATTCTCGCCACTCCTTAACACCATGGGCCCCCAAGATTGTCTCGGGCGGCCCCTCTTCCTCCTCCCGAAGAAGCTTTTGAGAACCAGGCCACCCGGCTCAAACACCGAGCTTCTGACTGGATATTCGTCCCGTCTTCTGGCCCATGTACAGCAACTGTCTACGCGCGAAGGTATCGCTCAAAGGCATCTACTGGGGCATCCGCAGCCCTGTACGCTTCGACACCAGACGCATGTACACCAGGGAGACTCTGCAAATCGGTATGAGACAAGAGTTCTGGAATCCGTCGAGGCGTCTTCGCTCGGCTTGGTTGGGGCAAGCAACGAGCAAAGCATACGTGAGTCTGGAGACGACGCAGGTGCGAAACATGCATATCTTCTGTCCCTGGCTCAGGAGCAGGATGCGACTCAATTTCCGCGAGCACACTACAACCACATCTGGCCGCCCCAACGATCCGACCCACGTTCCGTGCCCGTGCGCCCGTCCGCCGCACGAGAGACGCCCCGAGATCAACGAAAGACTGCGCGGCTGCTACGGGGGGCCCGTTGCGCCCCAGAATGTCTGCACCAATCCTAACTTTCACGAGTCTCACCCGTCCCCACTTGGGCTGCAGCCCGCCATGGCCCCCGCATCCCTCCACGCAGCGCAGCGGCTCGTGAACGAGGGCCGGGTCAGAGTCCACGAGCGGAGTGTCGCCCGCATACACGGATTCCCTCACACATCGATCCGCCTTCAGGGCGTCCCGAACTCGGCACGGCGCCGCTATGTGAACCCTGCCACTGCAGCTCTCGGTGGAGCTCCATGTGGGGCCACGAAACGTGCGTGTGGCTACATGAAAACGGTGCCGCCAGGCGAACCCTGCCGCTGTGGCCTTCAGTGGAGCCCCCCTCAGGCCACGAAACGTGTGAGGGGTGTATCGACACTGGCGCGGTGCCCCCGCGCGGACTGTGCCACAGGGGTCTTCAGTGAAGCTCCCAATGGGCCACGAAACGTGTGAGCGGTGTGGAGAAATGGGTGCGGTGCCGACATGCGGACTGTGCCACAGGGGCCTTCGGCGGAGCTCCCCATGGGGCAACGAAACATGTGAGGGGTGTGCCAAATGGACGCGGTGCCGCCATGCGGTCTGTGCCACAGGGGCCTTCGGCGGAGCTTTCTAAGCGGCCACGAAACGTGTGCGGGGTGTGCCGAAATCGGGGCGGTGCCGCCAGCGGACTGTGCCGCAGAGGCCTTCGGCGGAGCTCCTCACCGAGCCACGTGCGTTGCCGCCATGCGGACTGCGCCACAAGGGCCTTCGGCGGGGCTCCTTTTTGGGCCCGGAGACTTGTGAGGCGTTTGGCGAAAT